CTTGCTCAAACAGTTGTAATGCCCGAACATATTCTGTAAGAAATTGATCAAGCTTATGAAGCAGCAAAACCAATGTGATGTATTTTTCAACTCCTCTGAGGAGACATTAAAAGAAAGTGTAAACAATATTAGAGGTTCTATTGAGTTTGCGCTATTCGCGGTATCGCTATTACACAATCTGTATTCAGCTGAGACTCACTGGTGACCTTTGTGAACTAGCTTTGAGACTCATAAAATTGTTGATAAGGTTTAAATTTGACTTTTACAACCTTATTGTGTTGATTGGCTCGAAGCTTCGCAAAATCGGCGTTGGTGAATGTCAATTTTGCCCAAACAAGTTTTATGTTATTGACTTCAATAAAAAAACCTAAACCACACGTCCGTCGAAGCTAATCTACCACTGCACTTGGATACAAAGGTGCATGTGCCCCAATAATTTCTTACAGTTATTCTACAGATATTACTTCCAAGCTTTAAACTGCAGTTGACCTAAGATGACAATCAGCAAGATCTTGTTCTAAATGTCCATACGGCCATAATCAAGGTGGACACGTAGTAACACGAGATATAATCAATAATGGAAACTTTCAAGAGATGATTATGTCCAAAGTATCGAGAGACTCCTAACAGACTACGCCAAATGTCGAATTAGTTCAGAGCAAGTTTAATTAGTCATGAGTTACAGGTAATAAATAGTTTGTCAAATTGACAATAAAGAGTTGAGACAGGACTGTCTGTCTTTATACAACAATTTCACAAATACTAAAAATGTTTCTTCTATTACATATTCGACCGAGTAATACATTGTCACATAATATCAAACTAAATACGTGTTAATTTCTACCACTCCTGTAGCTCTTACAGATGATTCTATCACGTCTACGAAATAGCGGACTTTTCATTGGTCAAATATCATGTTTTAGGGGACGATAAACCAGTCGCATTTATGTATTATTTTCCAACAGACCATGCAGTGCAACGTTCGTCCAAAAATACCCCCGTATTGAAAAATGTAAACCGTGAGCCGCGGGACTGTTTTTTGAGGAATGATTGTACATGCATTTATTTTTTCATATAAATATATACTTCAGATTTTGCTAACGAAGAAAAAATAAAGTATTTTCAAATTAAAACTATTGATTTAAAGGTCTAATGAACCAATAAACCTTTATATGGACTTTATATTTACTGCCACTTATGGTTACAATCACAGTTTTAGTTTGTAAATAATTACGAAAATGTAACGTTCTAAATTGATGCGACGTTATTGATTTTCAATATTTGTATGTAATTTTTCACAATCCTACTATTTCACAATTAATGGTAGTTTGGATAAGAAATTCATTCAGAACGACCATTGACTCTTAAATATTCCAGATATATGCCATGTTCTGCTAAATACTTTTTTCATCTCCAAATAAAAGCCAAAACTGGTAGGGGTGTCCCGATTTGGGACCAGATATACCTGTTTCGCGTTTACGTAACCATGACTATATTTCGGGGTTTATTTACAGAACCATGCGCCGGAAATATCAACTTATCAAAATGAAATGATAATGATATCAATTTAGGAATAGAGATCAAAATTTATTGGGATCGGTGCTATGGTATGAAAAACATCAATATTTCACTTAAAAGTGTCCCGATTTAGGTACTGTAACCTTACCCTCAGCCTCAGGAATGGTACAAAGGGCAGCTTGATTTGAAATGAAAACATAAGTGTCATGCAACAATCGTTTTCACGAGCAAAAGAACAGCCGAATTCAAATAATTGGATTTTTCTAAATCAATTGCGTCATATAGGTGTATAGCCATTGATGTAGACACGAAAACACCATTTATTACATTTTACTTGGTAGAATAGATATAATCATCATATGTTTGTATATTATGCTTTCTGGTATGTATAACTCGGGATACGCGGTTGAAAGGGCATTTGTTAATTATTTTTCAAACTTTTTTTTAACTATGAATAAAAAAAAACCCAGCATCTACCAACAATTTATCTGATTGTTTATGAATGACTGAGGGAAGATAACTCAGTCATTCATGGAGCTATTTCAGTGATTGATCAATGTCTAAATGATGTAAAGGGGAACCAATCCGGTGATCATCTTGCTGTCCACACAACACTGAATTGTAGTAAGCCAGCTCGTGCAAGGAAAGAAGTGAGCTTCCGGAAATTCCGCGAAATTTCAATACCAGATTTCAACAATGACATTTAGTCTTGTTCCGCCCTTCAATCTATCTGGTAAAGAAGCCCTTATAGAGAAACACGCACCTCTGCAAACTAAGGTGATAACTGTGAGACCAAATGTCCCGTGGTATAATGAAAATCTCCGCGTAAAAAAACAGAATCGTAGAAAAGCAGAGAGACAGTGGCGACGGACCAAATTAATCGTTCACCAACAGATTTATAGAGAGCAATGTCGGCTAGTTGGTTCACTACTCTTTCAGTCAAAGAAGGCTTATTTTTCGGAAAGAATCGAAGAATGCGGCAAGGATAATAGACAGCTTTTTAGTCTCACCAAAAACCTAATGGGACAGAAAGGTGAAATTATCCTACCAAGCTGTAATTCTGAAAAAGACTTAGCAAGCAAGTTCAGTGATTATTTTCTAAATAAAATCAGCTCAATCAGGAAAAATATTGCCGAAGTAAACACCTCTGCTGACATTGACATCTCTGTCATGACTGCTGACATTGCATTTGATTGGGAACCATTGGCAAAGCTCTCACCAACAACCCAGGACGAGTTGCGCAACATTATCATGACCTCGCAATCGAAGTCCTATGAGCTTGTTCCACTGTCCACAGACCTATTAAAGCAATGTCTTGAAGCACTGCTTCCTTTGATTACCTCAATCATGAACAAATCATTGGCTGAGTCATTTGACGTCATCGACCATGGCATACTTTATAAACGTCAGGAATACTCTTATGGAGTGACTGATACCGCTCTATGCTGGATACAGTCTTACCTGAGTGAACGACGACAGTGTGTTGCCATCGGATCTTCCACCTCACATGACAAAGTACTAGTTTTCGGGGTTCCTCAAGGGTCGTTGTTAGGACCACGAAAATATTGTATATACTCCAAACCGATTGGAGAGATTTGTCGTCGCCATAGCCTTCGCTATCATTGCTATGTCGATGACACACAAATTCACATGGTCATCAAACCACAGGACAGTTGGAATACAGTCTCAGAAAGTCTGGAAGCTTGTCTGACAGATATCAGTATCTGGATGAACGCCAACATGCTTAAGCTTAATCAGGAAAAAAAGAAACTAATCGTCTTTTCCCCAAAGTGTCAGCAAACAATGGCTCTCCAGCTCAAGGTCGGTGCCAGAACTATTGAGACTGTTCCAGCTGTTAAAAACCTAGGGGTATGCTTTGATAGTTCACTGAGCATGGAGAAACAAGTGAACGCTATTGGCAAATCCTGTTACTACCAGATCAGGAACATCGGCTGTATTCGGCAGTTTTCAACTGCAGATGCATGCAAGATTTTGGTGCAATCACTTGTTACCTTTCGGTTGGATTATCTGACAAACTAACTAGTCGTCTGCAGAGGGTCCAGAACACTGCAGCACGGCTAGTTACTCGTACTCGAAAGAGAGAGCACATCACACGTATGCTTTATTTGTTGCACTGGTTACCTGTACGATACAGGTCGCAGTACACAATTCTGGTGTACACATACAAGGCACTGAATCGAACAGCTCCTCAGTACCTACAGGAGCTTGTTACCCTGTATCAGCCGACACGATCACTGCGGTCGGAGTCAGAATCTTTGTTGTGTGTCCCAAAATCTCGTACTGTGACCTACGGAAACAGATGCTTTTGGAGGGTTCCGGCTACGTTGTGGAATAGCTTACCATCTGCTATTAGAAAGTCAAATACCCTGGCCAAGTTCAAGAGGGACATCAAAACTCACCTCTTCACGTCTGCATTTTAAAATCTTTGCAAAGACGTCATGTAAATACAACCCTTTTATTTGTTCAATTATGTGCACATTGCTTGCTTCAATGTATAAAACTGATTGTAAGCCTTGGGCGCTATATACATGTTGTATACTATTATTATTATTATTATCTATTTTTATCTATCTTTTTCTTTGAAAGATGTGTTCAGCGGTTTGTAAGTCGAACTTTTCAGTTCCGATTTAAAAAGAGATCAAGGACTATGAATATGTTTTGAATTCGAGAGAAAACCGCTTCTTCCATCCAGCAAGACATTTAGCACATACAAATCAATACGAGAGTCTAAAATCAAAGTCTCGCGAAGAACTTTGGACAATTATGGGACCTTAAAAGTTAACTGTTAAAAAAGCCCAGCAAACATGTTTTCTAGGGTTCCATTACAACCCCCCCC